AGAGAGAGAGAGAGAGAGAGAGAGAGAGAGAGAGAGAGAGAGAGAGAGAGAGAGAGAGAGAGAGAGAGAGAGATTCATGCAGGTGTCGCGTTGAGAGCTCTTGGAATAGTCGGCGAATGATCGATAGCCATTGAGCGTTCTCCGAGTCGTTGTTGCTGCGCGGAGCGTTCGTTCCGAATAGTGGGCAAGATTAGATTGCCTGTATCTCCTCAATCCGTCCTGCGAAGGGCGGATTGACCTAACAGTCGATCTGGAGGGGGAGGAGAAGCCGGGTGTGGTCACCTCCGCTTCTCCCTCTCGAGGCGAGGGCCAGGGGCGGCGTAGAAAGAGGTCTAACCACTTGAAGCAGGTGGAGACAGCGGGTGGTGCCGCTCGACCCGGTGCACAGACACAGGGGTCCGTGACTCAGAGGGGGGGGGGGCAGGTCAAACTTGAAGGAGGAGAGAAGGCGGGCGACGCCTCCGGGGTCCCGTCTTTCGCCCTCTACTCAACCTTGTGCGCGATGGCAGCGGGAGGGGGGTTGATCCTCCTCTTCTACGCCTCCTTTCTCCTCGGTGGAGGCTCTGGACCGAGTGGAGATGGTGGTATTGGGGCCCTTTTCTGGACGGCAAGGACAGCCGCGGGGGAGAAGGCGGAGTCGGAGGAGGTGACGTGTGGATCTGCCATCAAGCTCCAGCACGAGCGGACTAAGTTCCGCCTCCATTCCCACGAAGTCCAGTACGGCTCGGGGAGCGGGCAGCAGTCGGTGACAGGCTTCCAAGGCGGCGACGATGCCAATAGTTATTGGGTTGTGCGGGGGACTGAGAAGGCGCCGTGCGCTCAGGGGAGTGTGACCAAACACGGCGACGTCATTCGGCTCCAGCACATGCGCACGCGCAAGTGGCTGCATTCTCATCTCCACTCCTCCCCCTTGACCAACAACTTCGAAGTCAGTTGCTTCGGCGGCGACTCGTCTACCGACACTGGCGATAATTGGAAAGTGGAACTGGAGTCCGGTAAGGGAGACTGGCGGCGAGATCAGAAGGTCAGGTTCTTTCACGTCGATACCGGTGCTTACCTCCATAGCCATGACAAGAAGTACTCGCATCCAATTAAGGGACAGCAGGAGGTGTGCGGGGTTCGCAAAAAGTCGGCCGATAACGTGTGGCTCGCCACGGAAGGCGTCTATTTTCCCGCCAAAACGCAGGGGTGAGTGAGGAGTATGGCGTCTATTTTCCCGCCAAAACGCAGGGGTGAGTGAGGATTATGGCGTCTATTTTCCCGCCAAAACGCAGGGGTGAGTGAGGAGTATGGCGTGTATTTTCCCGCCAAAACGCAGGGGTGAGTGAGGAGTATGGCGTGTCTATTTTCCCGCAGGGGTGAGGGAGTGAGGCGTGGATTTTCCCGCCAAAACGCAGCGGTGAGTAATCTCAGTTTTGAACCGTTCACTGTTTGATGGAGTGTATCATACGTCTATTTTCCCGCCAATACTAATTTGCAGCACGACTATGTTGTCTGCTTCCATCGCCAGGTAAGTCGGTGGCTGATTGATTGATTAATTACAGTAATTTACCCAACTCGGCGCTTTGTTTTCTCTGAAACTCGGACGGTAGATAACTGACTGACAGACTGATTGATTGATTGATTGATTGATGATTCGTCGGATTGACACATGGGTCGACCATCCTCTGTCCTCTGCGACGAAACCAGATCGTCGTCATCGCTGGCTTGGCCGATGCTGTCTCTTGGCTGGATGGGTGGCCCGCTCAGCTGCCTGCCTCTCCTGTACGAAGCCAGTGCTGTTTACCTAGCTACTACGGTATGGCGTACTCCGTAGATGTCTCCGTCCTTGTCTTTTTCTACAGTATTACGCAGTCTCGGCTGATTGATTAGGGTTCTCGTTCATTCCTGAGTGCTTTTTCTATATCCGCTGATGATTGATTGGACCTCAGAATCCTCCTCTCTGGCGACGTGGTCGCTTCCTCTTCTTCGCTGTGTCAGCCACTTTATCCTTGCTGAGGCTCTCTCTATCACAGTCATTTCATCCTTGCTGAGGCTCTCACACGGCCACTTAATCCTTGCTGAGGCTCTCTCACACAGCCAGTTTATACTCGTTGAGGAGCGGAAGGTGCTCTTGTCTATTAGCGAATTGTTGATGCTTTCGCGGCGCGGATTAAAGTTCCTTTCCTTCAGCTGCCTCAGATTAAGTCTTCGGCGACTCGGCGGCGTCTCTTTTGTCCTCTGATGAAGGCGCCTTTCCTGAGGCATGCATGATTTCTGTTATTCAATCGAACGGGAGTAAGCAAATCCTGTCCCGTGTTTCGATCGGTGAGCGTTACGCTTCCAGTGCAATGCGACTCGAGGCGGACTGGTTTGCCTGTCGACTCTAACACGTCTCTTTGTGAAAGGAGACCAGAGCTTATCACTGCTGCTGTTGCTGCCAATGACTGAGTGATTCCTAATTAAAGGTCACAATGATGATCACGGTGGCGAAGGCGCGAAGGACAAACGAGTGCGACGCAGTTGCGCGTGAGCAATCAGTCCATATGTCGTGGGGAGGCTGGCTCAGACACGCGGAGAGAGAGTGTGTGTTGTGTCTTGTGTTCGTATCATACATACACACAGAGAGAGAGAGAGAGAGAGAGAGAGAG